TTTGTATGTTATTCCTCGCCTGTCATGACAACAGTGTTTTTGAACAATGGTGAAAAGGAGCTCCCTCTTTGATTTTTGTAGATGGCAGTCGAATTCCTGCATGAACTGAATGTTCCATTTTTCAAAGTTGGATCTGGAGACACTAATAATTTTCCTTATCTGGAAAAGACAGCCAAAAAAGGTAAGTGTCTAATTTTTGACATAAAATCCAAGGGAGTCCAAACCTTCATATGTTTACTCCCCTCATGGTGGCCCACTTTGAGGCAGATTTCATGAAGACAAATTTTAGAAGCCTCTTTTCATTTTTTTAAAATAAGAGACAGGGTCTCGCTATGTTGGCCAGGTTGGTCTTGAACTCCTGGCCTGAAGCAATCCTCCCATCGTGGCCTCCCAAAGTGCGAGGATTACAGGCATGAGCCACTGTGCCCTGCCAGAAACCTCTTTTCAATCAGCCTGTACTTTCACTTTTTGTATGCTAAGTTCAAAGAAAATAAATTAAGAATATGACAGTTTTTATAAGACATTTAAAAAATTTTTTAAGAATTTATTTATTATTATTTTTTTATAGAGACAAGGTCTGTCTATGTTGCCCAGGTTGGTCTTGAGCTCCTGGATTCAAATGATCCTCCTACTTTGGCCTCCCAAAGAGTTGGGATTATAAGTGTGAGCCACTGCACCTGTCCTAGAAAATTTTTTAATGAAAATGTGTAAGAAGGATATGACAGTATACATAAAACCTAGTATGGTGATGCATACCTGTGGCCCCAGCTACTCTGGAGGCAGAGGTAGGAGGATTGCTTGAGTTTGAGACTGCAGTGGGCCAGGATCATGTAAAGTCGTTTTACAACATGAACAATGTCATTTGATCATCATAACACCCCTAGGACTGAAACAGGTCTGATTATGATGCTTGATACTTATTTCATAGGGGAGGCTTTTGAGACTCACAGACAGACAGTGCTTTGCCCAGGCACAGCTACAAGTGGCAGCTCTGCACCTCACACTCACTCACACTCTTGAATCAGCACTCATTGTACTGTACTGCCATGGTATACAACCTGTTAATCAGATGAGATACTCATTTTCCTCTTGAAAGTGTGAAATTCCTCTGCCTCTTTAATTCAGTTCGTTTTGCTCAAGAACACTGTCGGGGGGCAGAGGGGAGCCCACCTTCCCTGTGGCCGAGGGCAGGAACCCAACAAGCTCCTCTCTATTCCCCCACAGTGGCTGGCACAGTGTTTTGAGATGTCTGTGGAGTTCAGTTGAATGATGAGACCAGCAGTTGGGATGTGTTGGGGAGAGTCAGAACCTCTAAAGAGAAAGTGCTGATGGTATTGGTGCTGGATTACTCAGGTCGCCCAATGGTGATCTCCAGCGGGATGCAGTCGATGGACACCATGAAGCAAGTCTATCAGATTGTGAAGCCCCTCAACCCCAACTTCTGCTTCTTGCAGTGTACCAGCGCATACCCACTCCAGCCTGAGGACGTCAACCTGCGGGTCATCTCGGTGAGCAGGAGGGGGGGTTCCCTTCTCGGGCCATTTACTATGGGGAAGACGTCCTTTTTATAACCAAAATTCTAACAAACCATGGCATACTTTATAATTTGAACATCCTTTGACAGTCTTGCTGTTACTAAATCAAATTTGAGCTAAACAGTTGAGGAAGCACATACATTCTAAAGAGTGTGACTATAAATGAAATTTTCTTGGCCAGGTGCGGTGGCTCATGCCTGTAATCCCAGCACTTTGGGAGGTTGAGGTGGGCAGATCACCTGAGGTCAGGAGTTCGAGACTAGCCTGGCCAACATGGTGAAACCCCTTCTTACTAAAAATACAAAAACTAGCCAGGCATGGTGGCGCATGCCCATGGTCCCAGCTACTCAGAAGGCTGAGGCAGGAGAATGGCTTGAATTCAGGAGGCAGTGAGCCAAGATCGCACCAGTGCACTCCAGCCTGGGTGACAAAGTGAGACTGTCTCAGGAAAAAAAAAAAAATCTGTCAACAGACATTTGGGATGGTTTTACCTTTTGGCTATTGTGAGTGATGCTGCTATGAACACTAGCGTACAGATAAATATTCATCTTTTTTCATACTGAGTTATAGGAGGCCTTCTTGAAACTTATGGCTTTTTCTGCTTTGTTATTTGCTGGCTCTCTTATTTTCTAATTCTTAGCATCCCTGAGGCTCAAACTAATTACAGTGACAGCCTTGAGGGAAATTACTCTCTCCCAGGATTTTGCCTACACAGTCATTTCATAGATGGTGAAGTCCAGTCCCAAGTCGGGAAGCCTGAGATCCCACAGCAGCTTGGTGGCAAAGCTGGAACTAGAACCCGGGCATGTCCCCTTAGGCCTTTGTCTCTTACTGTCTCATGCCATCTCTCTCAGTTCCTCCTGTAGCACTGGAAATTTAACTTCATTCAAAAATATGTAATTATCATTAAAACCATTATAGTAACATTAATGGAATTCTGTCTCTCCATCCATACATACTTAGAATCCTGATATTGCAGTTGTTTTCCTTTTATATTTTCCTTTCAGCATAGTATTTGATATTGTTTTTCCCATAATATAAGCTTTCTTACATGTTGCTATACAGCCATTAACTTTTAAAAAGTTAGCCTTTTTGAAAACTGACATTGCTCCTTTTACCTAAACTTTCTTTTTTTACCTACACTTTTCTGTTTCTGCTTCACATATAGCTTATCTAAATCATGTTATTTTTAAAGCTTAAAAATGATTCCTGTGAAACATGTAATGTCAAAAGTAAACATCCCCTGCACTCCCATTCCACAGAGATTCCGATAATTAACAGTTTAGTAGACGTGACCCGTTATTTTCCCTTTCAGTGTATCTCTGTCCCCACTCAAGGTGCTGTCATGTCCTCTCTCTTGACACTACACATTGCAGGAGTTATTCTGCCAGCCTATCCCATCTTGGGCCTGCACATAGTACGGCCGTTTGAATTTCCAAACTTAGCAATCCGCGCTCCATCACACACCCTTAAGCCTGTTTTTCAAGGCCTTTGCCACCTAACCCTCCTAATCTTTTGTTAAACCCCACCTGAGGCCAGATGATGTGGCTCACGCTGGTAGCACTTTGGGAGGCTGAGGCAGGTGGACTGCTTAAAGCCAGGAGTTCGAGACCAGCCTGGCTAACGTGGCAAAACCCCTTCTCTACTAAAAAATACAAAAATTAGCTAGGCGTGGTGGTGGGCGCCTGTAGTCCCAGCTGCTCGGGAGGCTGAAGCAGGAGAATCGCTTGAACCCAGGAGGCAGAGGTTGCAGTGAGCCGAGATCACACCACTGCACTCCAGCCTTGGCAACAGAGCGAGACTCTTGTTTCAAAAAGAAATAATAAATAACAATAAAATAATAATACACCCTACCTGAGTCTACTGTACTCAGCTTTCTGATCACCCTCACCAACAAGACTCACCCATCTTAAAGTGTCTTTTGTTGCATTCAGTGAATTATAGATAATGGATTATTTATCATTTCTGCCAAAGGATTGTTTTGAGATTGGGCTGTGTATATTATTGTTGATATTTGTGGCACACTTGCTTTCAGCAGCTCAGGCTAATTAAATGTGACAGATGGTTTTTGAATGAGGTTAGACATTAATTTACAGTTCTGTTGTTATTCTCAGTGTATTGTGCAATGTGAAACATTCTTAAAATGCATTCTTTGCAGTAAGAGTAACTGTTGTTTTTAGAGCATTTACAATGTGCTGAGTGCTTCTCATGCATTTACAGCAACACTCAGCAGGTATTATCATCATCCCTAGGAAGGAGAGGCTCAGAGAACCTCAGTATCTTACCCCTGGCTGCACAACTAGTGAGTGGCTAAACCGGGACTGAACCAGATATACTTGACCCTAGAGAATATGCATAAAGCACCATGATATTTAACGTTATTTTTCTTTTTTCATTTTAAAGGAATATCAGAAGCTCTTTCCTGATATTCCCATAGGTTATTCTGGGCATGAAACAGGCATAGCCATATCTGTGGCCGCAGTGGCTCTGGGGGCCAAGGTGTTGGAACGTCACATAACTTTGGACAAGACCTGGAAGGGGAGTGACCACTCAGCCTCACTGGAGCCTGGAGAACTGGCCGAGCTGGTGCGGTCAGTGCGTCTTGTGGAGCGTGCCCTGGGCTCCCCAACCAAGCAGCTGCTGCCCTGTGAGATGGCCTGCAATGAGAAGGTACGTCCTGCTGGACTCCACTCGGCTCTGCTGCCGTGTGCGGAAACAGGATGGGCTGGCCCGAGAGGGATGGTCAGGGCCAGCACTCCCTGAGCCAGGCTAATTAAATGATGAAGGAATGGGCTGCCACCCCTGTCAGCTTCTTCAGGCTCTTCAGTAATGCGTGTCACTCTGGCTGGTAGCAGCAGCGGGAGAAACATGTTATCTAAAGGGAACTTTAGCGGTTTCTCTGGCCACCTAGGGTCACATTAGAGTCTTCCACTAATTATCTGAAGCCCATGGCCCCAGTAACTCCTAGACTCCAGAATATGTAACAGTGATGAGGCCCTGGAATAAGTCAAGTCTGGGCTCCCTTGGAGCAGGTAAACCCTGAGAAACATTTAGGCGAGGTGTTCCCTGAGGTACCAGAAGAGCCTGTGACATTTCCTAAGCCAGGGTGGCACTGGTGGAAAGGGCAGTGAGTTGTTGCAGAGGTGGGTGGGTGATGATGCAGCTGTTCCTTGTGCAGCATGGACCTTCAGACAGAGGGACTGGTGGGTCTAGAAGCACTGCCTGGCCTGCTGACTGTCACGGCTTCGTGGAAGCCGTGGCCTGGACCTTCTTGCCGTCTGAGTCATAGAGCCAGGCAGGCATCCTGGGACTGCAGGCACACACACACACCTAACCTGCTGCAGGATGTTGGGGTCAAGGCAAAGACCAAACACCAGGCATGCCTGGTACTGCTGTCATCTTTTATTCTAGTGGGGCCTACCTGCTTCCCCAAATCAAAGATGCATCTATACCAGGAAATTAAAATAAAGTAAAAAGAAATAGTTTCTTTATAGAGGAAACAGGAGAGAATTAGACCAGAAACCAGAGTTAAGTTTTATAACAGTTGAGCACTTAATTTGGCTCTCTGAGCAGACAGTAAAACATAACAGGATGCATGATTATCACTTGACAGACATTTTTTCCTGGCACCACATTCCAAGCAGAATTGATTCCTTGCACTCTCTTGTGGAGGATATAGAGTAATAAAACACGTAATTTATTTGAAAGTATTTATGGAGAAGACAAACATTGGTCATGAGCTTCAGGTAACCTTCATTTCCTCACCTGCCTGTCCTATCTGCCCCTTCCTCGGGGGCTCCTTTTCTTGCCATCTGCATAACAGCCACATTCACCATCTTATGAGTCCTTCATATTTCTATTTTACCAAACAAAGTGGCGGTAAGGTGTGCACCCTGAAGAACAGTGCGTCAGGAGTTGAGAATCTCATTCCTACGTTTCATCTTGGCTGTCTGCAACCCTGGCCAAGTCACCCACCCTGTATGGGCCTCGGTTTCCCCATGTTTACAATGAGATATTGAGCTGGATGGTGACCAAAGGAATTAGAGTTTGCATGTATTAAGAGCATTCTATGTTCCAGGCACATTCTATAATATCACCAATCCTTACAGTCATCTGACAGGATAGTTTCCATTTGACAGAGAAACTAAAACATGGCCTATATCCCACTGACTGGGATTTGAACCTGGCTCCACCTACACAGCCTGAGCCCTTTCCTTCGCACTTTATTGTAAAGGCCACTCCTCTGAGTCTCTGAATTCAATCTACACTGGTTGAATTCCTGCCATGTATGAGATATTCTGAGCAGCGTAGGTGGCAACAGAGTCCCTGCTCCCAAGGTACTGCCTGGGGAGGACTGATCAGGGACCTGGAATGTAAAGTAGTGTACACTAGTTACTTCTGTGAAGCTGGCACTGAATGTTCATTTTGTTCACAGCTGGGCAAGTCTGTGGTGGCCAAAGTGAAAATTCCGGAAGGCACCATTCTAACAATGGACATGCTCACCGTGAAGGTGGGTGAGCCCAAAGGCTATCCTCCTGAAGACATCTTTAATCTAGTAGGCAAGAAGGTCCTGGTCACTGTTGACGAAGATGATACCATCATGGAAGAATCGGTAGATAATCATGGCAAAAAAATCAAGTCTTAAAATAAAGTGCCATTCTGTGAATTCTCAGTTCCCTTGCTAGTGCTGTCGGATGTGTCTGAGTGAGGCGGGGGCAGGAATGGCGGTCTCCAGGGACCTGGCCGTCATCCACCTCCACCCGCTCCTTAGACAGCAGACGTTTCTGGGCCAGGCCCTGTGTCAGCCCACTGGAGAGAGAAAAAGATCCAGTGATGCAGTCTCTGCTTCAAGTTGGCCAGCTTAGAAGAGGGGGTGGTTCCAAACCACGTCCATATCCTTCAGTTGCTGGGTGGCTGCAGAGAGGGGCGAGAGCTGGCTGCGCAGGTCCTTTCCTTTAAGCCTTCAATCTCACTTCCTTACAGCCCTTTACTTCTCCATTGCCTTTATCCCTTTCCTGCCATTGGCCTCTGTGTCTAGTTGGCATTGTATAGTAGTCCCTCCACATCAGAGAAAGGATTGGTCAAAGGATCTTGTAGGCAGAAAAATGCTGAAGGTTCTCCTCTCAGAGCAGAGAGGGAAATGGCATGTGTTCCTTCTCTGAACAAATACTAAGGGCCATCTGTGTGCCAGGCACTGCTTTAGGCACAGAGGATATAGCCATGAACAGCCCCAATCCCTTCCTCAGGGAACTTTCATTCAGATGGGGGCAGATGCATAAAAATCAATACACTATGCATATATTGAGAGCATTCTATGTTCTAGGTACATTCTATAATATCACCAATCCTTACAGTCATCTGACAGGATAGTTTACATTTGACAGAGAAACTAAAACAAGGCCTATACCCCACAGTGATTCCGTCACACAATATGTTAGAAGGTGGTATGTAAGCCAGGCATGCTGATGTGAGCCTGTAGTCCCAACTACTTAGGAGGCTGAGGCAGGAGGATCGCTTGAGACCAGGAGTTCAAGCTATAATACTATCTTGGATGGGAACAGGTGGGAGTTGTTTACACGTAAGTGAGAACTTTAGTGAGTTATCTTCAGAAGCAGTGAATGCCCCATCCCTGGAGATAGTTAATCAGGGAGCAGCTGACTACTACCAGAAGGCTGCCTAAGGAATAGGCTATGAGTGAAGGCCCGTCTGGGTCTGGGTGCTAGGGACTTGAAGCAACGTGAACTCCCAGTGAAGACCATGGTTAAAAGGGACATTATTCACATTTTATTAAACCAAATATTAGAAAATTGCTGTCATTTAAAAATATCTGCAAGCAATTTGCCAGATCAATAAAGAAATGTCTACAGATTCAAGTCTGAAAGAGAATAAGGTAAGTGATCAGTAACCCTTACCAACATGGAAACCAAGGAAGCCTCATTCCCGTGCTGAGAATATTCTAGTAGCTCTTGCTACTGCCACATGGCAGCTGGGAATACCAGTAGTCTCAGCACTCAGTCGGTACAGCGCACGCTCCCTTGGGAATGCTGATAAATCCTGGCATGATACAGCACTATAGTTTTTTGTTTTGTTTTGTTTTTTTGAGACAGAGTTTTGCTCTGTTCCCCCAGGCTGGAGTGCAGTGGCACATTCTCGGCTCACTGCAATCTCCGCCTCCTGGGTTCAAGCAATTCTCTTGCCTCAGCCTCCTGAGTAGCTGGGATTACAGGCACGCACCACCACACCCAGCTAATTTTTGTATAGGACTATAGTTTTTAAGGCAAGTTTATAACCTTTGGCTCATTTGAGCCTCCCAGCACTGGTAGATAGTGCCATTATCCCCATTTTATAGATGGCACCGAGAAGTAAAAAGTGACTAGCCCTGGTCACACAATTGATTATGGACTGAAACTGCTGCTTTCTGGCTATCATGGGCCTTGACACAGCTAGTTTGTGACCTTTAAGGTCTAGCTCTGTCTCTGCTGCATGAATCCCAAACTTTTAAATCAAGTTCCCCTCTGGGCCATAAGGCCTCATCTCAGACCCCAAGGAAGGCAGTCCAAAGGTAGACTCAAGTGTCATAGAATCACCGGGCACTAGGAAAGCATCATGGGCAGTAGCTCCATGAGAGGGGCCAGAGCACTAGGCACTGGCCAGAGACCAGCTGCATTCAACCTGAGCAGTAGGGCCTGGTGGCCATGAGCACAGACCTGGAACTCACAGCCTGGGCCCAGACCCCAGCTCCACCACCAGCTGTGCGACCTTGGGCAAGTGACTCTGGGTCTCCATTTTGCCATGTGTAGAATTGGGATAACTTTCTACCCCCTAGGGGTGATGAAAGGATCAGATAAGTTTAGTTGTAAAGCATTAGAACAGTGCATTATAAGCGAGTAAGAGCTGTTATTACTTGGCCCCTGCAGCTGTGGGTCTGGGAAGAGGTCTTGATCATCAGGGATGGACAGAGATGTTGGGGTCAAGTGTATTCATCTTCACTCTGTCAGGAATGCCTTCTGCCTGTCACAATTCAGTTTGGGCCATCTCCTAGTAGAATTAATTTCCCCTTTTTCTCACGATTCCTGCAGCATAGTGCTTTAAAACTCTGTCCAGCCAGAGTTTTAAAGTCTTTGGTTAGAAGTTAAGGCGTTTGCAAGGTTCTGTCTGCCTGGTGTTCTGCTACATTGTCTTATATCAAAAGTGCCATTTTTAACTCAAAAACTATTGAAAATTGTCAGTTTTATATCGTTCAAACTAATGCACTGAGAGTCTGTTTCAATTACGAGGATTCGGCGGCCTTAGCCTCCCACCAAGCACCTACGAAGATGCTTTAACAGAACATAACTTCAGAACCATCTAGGGAATTGACAAAACAGGACGCGGAACCTTCAGAACAGAGACACAGGCCCTGGGAAGAGGCCTCCCCCTACCTGCTAGAGGAGCTGGCCTCCCTGTGAGAGCCTACCGTTCTCTATTTCTGTCACTTCGTTCCAGACAGCTGGGTGCTCTTCCCCTTTTTGTCCCAGGACAGTTGGGAAACACCACCCCCTTTGGTTGCTTAGCAACTGTCACCTGCTGATTCCGTCCCAGCATTCCCTGAGAAATGAATAAGCAGGTTGAAAGCTGGGCCTAAGGGCTGGGCCAGGGGACAGGTCAGATGCTTGCTTGGGGGCGGGTGGATGGGGCACACATCTGGCCCCCCCCATATCACCACGGGGTAACTTTACGCAGCTGCTTTCTTTCAGGACCTCAGAGACTCCCCAAATGTACAATGAGATCTGGCTGGGTGACCTGTGACTCAGTGATGGGAACTTGCTGGTTATTAATTCACTGCTTGGGAGGGAAGGGGCTTTCTGAACTTTTCAGGGTGGAGAGAGTATAGGACAAAGCTGCCCTTCCAAAGCCTCCAATTTAGTTGGAAAGATAGGGTCCCAGATTTGTGGCTCTGATAGTGAGATTCTTGTTCCTTGGTTAGACTTCCTGGCGCAGGTAAGCCTGGGGAAGACTGAGACAGGTGAAAAAACTTTTCTGCATGTATGTGCTGGCAGCAAAGAGGTGTGGAGGTGGAGCTATGCGGCATATTTCTGACTGGAGAGTCTCTAAGAAGAGTGGTAGGAGCTAGGTGAGGATAAGGAATTTTGGGCAGACTAGATAAGCCTTGAATGCTAAGGTGAGGCGTTTGTATTTTTTGTTTGTTTTTTCATGGTAACTCCTGGAAGCCTCTTCATAGCTGAGAGGTTAAGTGAAGTTTTAGGAAGATCACTCTAGTTTTAGGGTGGAAGATGAGGACTGGGAGAGGGTTCAGACCAGGAACTGCTAAGAAGCTCTTGCAGCTGTTCTGGAGGGAGCTGTGATGTGGACAAGCTGAAATCGGTGGGGAGGAAGCGGTAGATTCAAGGGACCTCAAGAGACAGAAGAGTCAGGGCTGGATGACTCTCATTCATTCACAAACATTTACTGTGTGCCTACTATGTGCGAGGTTCCTGTGTTGTACGAGGGAGAAGGTTCCCAGGCTGCGGATGACGTATTCAGCATGCTGACGGCTTACCTGTGGGGGTATCACTTTGAAGGAACTGGATTAAAGTAGTGTAAGTGATGGTGGGGTGGGGGTGCGGAGGTCTGATGAGAAGGCAGCAGCAGACTTGTTTAGGGCCTGTTTGAAACTAGCCTAGGAGAGGAAACCTTCAAAGCACTGTAGGCGTGATTGGTCGGGGAGAGGTGGGGCAGGGAGTGGGCCCTAAGAAGCAGGCAGTAAGGGGAGCAACCACGCTGATCTAGGTAGATTAGGCGAGACTGGGCAGCTGCGGCGTACCTGGAGGCTGTCACGCCGGTCCTGGCCCCTAGGGCAGCCGGGCGATGCTGATGGCCCCCTCCCAGAGCCGCAGAGCCGGGTAGACCGGCTCCTGGAAGGTGGCGCGGAAGGTGTGCAGGTGGCTCATGCTGCCCGTCACGTCGTAGAAGGCGAGGACGCCGGCCTCGTAGTCCAGGAAGACGCCGAGCCGGTCGAGGTCGTCGCGGGGCCGCAGGCGGCTGCGCTGACCGTCGTGGAAGGCCCAGTACTCGAGGTCGTAGCGCTTGAGGCACCAGGACTGGCGGTTGCAGCCCAGGCGGGCGGCGGCGGAGGCCCCGCGGCGCCGAAGGGAGGCGTAGGCCGCGCCCACCCACCAGCCGGCGCCCGCCTCCTGCACGTCTACCTCCCAGTAGTGGCGGCCGGCGGCGAAGCAGTCGCGAGCCAGCACCTGCCAGAGCGCGTCGAACCGCAGCGCGGGCACGGGCCCCAGGCTGCCCAGCAGGCCGCACCGCACAGTCAGCCGGTCTGCCGACAGGCGCAGGCGCGCGTGCATCGTGTCCGGATCCAGCGTGGGCGTGCGCGCGTCTGCAGAGGGCGAGATAAGGGACGCACCTGGTGGGCGGGGCCAGAACGGCGCCCCGCCCCCTGGATTCCACCAAAGCACAAAATGCGAAGCGCGGAAATGGCCCGAGGGAGTGAAAGACCCCTTTAAACCGCGACTGCCCCTGGGGCGCGGGCTTGGGGAAAGGGGAGGCAGAGATCACTCTACTGCACATCCCTTATACTGTCTGTATTTTGTGCCGTGAAATTTGTTGCCAATTAATACAAATTTAATTTAAAATAATCCTATCGGCCGGGCGCGGTGGCTCAAGCCTGTAATCCCAGCACTTTGGGAGGCCGAGACGGGCGGATCACGAGGTCAGGAGATCGAGACCATCCTGGCTAACACCGTGAAACCCCGTCTCTACTAAAAATACAAAAAACTAGCCGGGCGAGGTGGCGGGCGCCTGTAGTCCCAGCTACTCGGGAGGCTGAGGGGAGGGGGACCGGGGGGGAGCTGCAGTGAGCTGAGATCGGCACTGCACTCCAGCCGGGCTACAGAGCAAGACTCCGCCAAAAAAAAAAAAAAAAAAGCCGGCGCGGTGGCTCAGCCTGTAATCCAGCACTTTGGAGGCGAGACGGCGGATCACGAGGTCAGAGATCGAGACCATCCTGGCTAACACAATGAAACCCCGTCTCCACTAAAAATACAAAAAAATTAGCCGGGCGTGGTGGCGGCGCCTGTAGTCCCAGCTACTCGGGAGGCTGAGGCAGGAGAATGGCGGGAACCCGGGAGGCGGAGCTTGCAGTGAGCCGAGATCGCGCCACTGCACTCCAGCCTGGGCGACAGAGCGAGACTCCGCCTCAAAAAAAAAAAAAAAAAAAAAAAAAATCCTATCACTGTTAACATTAGGGTGTGTGTACTTCCTAATTTCCCCTCCCCTTGCTGCTTTATGGGTTTTCTTTCTTTTCTTTTTTTTTTGAAACGGAGTCTCGCCCTGTAGCCCAGGCTGGAGTACAGTGGAGCGATTTCGGCTCACTGCAAGCTCCGCCTCCCAGGTTCAGGCCATTCTCCTGCCTCAGCCTCCCACGTAGCTGGGACTACAGGCGCGCACCACCACGCCCGGCTAATTTTTTGTATTTTTAGTAGAGACGGGGTTTCACCGTGTTAGCCAGGATGGTCTCAATCTCCTGACCTCGTGATCCACCCATCTCGGCCTCCCAAAGTGCTGGGATTACAGGCGTGAGCCACCGTGCCCAGCCGAAATAGAGCATTTTTCTAAGAGAAAGAAAATGAGTTGTTTTTAAGATTTTCCCCCTTTCTCTCCTGTCTCCCACTTCCTACTTAGCTATCTATCTATCTATTTATTTATTTATTTATTTTTTAAGACGGAGTTTCACTCTTGTTGCCCAGGCTGGAGTGCAGTGGTGCTATCTCGGCTCACTGTAACCTCCGCCTCCCAGGTTCAAGCGATTCTCCTGCCTCAGGCTCCCTAGTAGCTGGGATTATAGGCACCTGCCACCATGCCTGGCTAATTTTTGTATTTTTAGTAGAGATGAGGTTTCATCATGTTGGCCAGGCTGGTCTCGATCTCCTGACCTCAGGTGATCCGCCTGCCTCAGCCTCCCAAAGTGCTGGGATTACAGGCATGAGCCACTGTGCCCTGCCTCTATTTAGCTCTTTAGAAATGTAATTTTAACCATTACCTTCCCTTCACCAGATACTCCCTACAGGGCAAACTTATCTACCTACTTAGAGGGTCCAGAACCAGAACTTTCTCCCACCAAGAGATTGCCTTAAGAGACAACAGTCAATTTACAACCTAAAGTATGCCTGCGACAGAACTCTTCCACCTGGACAGCATCTCAGGACAACAGCCACATTACAACCTAGTTCTGCCCTCAATGGCATCAGCTCAACCACCTGGTAGAAAAGGCACCAAAATGAGTCATGTAGACCCCCATCTGCTTGCTCCTCCCCTGCATGCCATTCATACAAAGTCCCCATTTAAAACTCTCTGCTTTCTGCCCTAAAAGCGAGGCGGTACCGTTAAGGGCAGGAGGAGCCTGTACCTCTTCCCCTAAGCTAAGCTTTGGAATAAAACCACTTTCTTTATACCAGACCTCGCTCTTGTTAATTGAACTCTGCAAAGTGTTGAGCAACTGAACCTGTGTTTCGGTCACATAACATTCTTGTGCAAGTCTTTTGATTCACATATGTATGCATTTCTGTTGGATGTATACCCACGGTGAGAGAAAATGCTGCTCATTATAACCATTTCTATTCGACAATGTTCTAAATGTAGTAGACAGTAACTCAAGGCACAAAAAAAGAAGTGAAAGGCAAGAATAAAGATTGGGGAAATGAAAGATTATTATTCATAGGTGACGTGCTTATTTACAGAAAATCCCAAATAATCTGTAGATAGCTTAGAAGTACTACGTGAATTTATAACAGCCACTCAATATGTCAGTATACAAAAATGGATAAATCTCATGTTGAGTGAAAGAAGCAAAACACAGAAGGGTATAGTCTGAATGATCTACTGAATGTTCAAAAACAGGTAAAACTAACCTATAGTCCTAGAAGTCTGGAGAGTGGATCCCCTTTGGGGATAGTAAACAGGAAGGCACATGAGGAAGACTTCTAGGGAGTGGAAATTTCCATTTCTTGATCTGAAGGTGGTTATGTTTCCTTTTTAAAAAATCATTGAGCTGCACATTTTTTATTTGTGCACTTTTCTTTATTCTCTTTTCTTCCTTCCTTCCTTCCTTCCTTCCTTCCTTCCTTCCTTCCTTCCTTTCTTTCTTTCTTTCTTTCTTTCTTTTTCTTTCCTTCCTTCCTTCCTCCCTCCCTCCCTCCCTCCCTTCTTTCCTTCCTTTGTGACGGAGTCTTGCTCTGTTGCCAGGCTGGAGTGCAGTAGTGCGATATTGGCTCACTGCAACCTCCGCCTCCCAGGTTCAAACAATTCTCCTGCCTCAGTCTCTTGAGTAGCTAGGACTACAGGTGCATGCCACCATGCCCAGCTAATTTTTGTATTTTTAGTAGAGACGGGGTTTCACCATGTTGGCCAGGATGGTCTTGATCTCAGGAGATCCACCCACCTCAGCCTCCCAAAGTGCTGGGATTACAGGCGTGAGCCACCGTGCCTGGCAGTTTGTGCACTTTTCTTTACGCATGTTATATTTCAACTAAAGTTTACTTGAAAAATTCATGTCCAGTGTAAAAAGAAAATAAAATTTCAGGACTTTCCTAATTAATTATGCCCAGGGGAAAAGTTAAGCCCTGGAAACTAAGTCACATAATGTGGCTGTTTTTCTTCTCTGGTGCATGACCATTACTTCCTGACTTTTGTGTGGAGATGTTATACATTAACCAGACTCCCTATTCTTCATTCAAACCTACACTAAATGGCATTGGAGATAGAGACCCTTTAGATTGTTACCTGTTTTCAATAGGATGTTAACCTGTTAGGGTGTAATCAATAGTAGAGAATCAAATCTTAAGTCAGTATGTTATTTATTTATTTATTTTTGAGACGGGGTCTTACTCTGTCACCCAGGCTGGAGTGCAGTGGTGTGATCTCAGCTCACTGCAACCTCCACCTCCAGGTTCAAGCGATTCTCCTGCCTCAGCCTCCTGAGCAGGTGTGATTATAGGCACCTGCCACCAAGCCCAGCTAATTTTTGTATTTTTAGTAGAAACAGGGTTTCGCCATGTTGTACAGGGTGGTCTCGAACTGCTGACATCAAGTGACCCACCTGCCTTGGGCTCCCAAAGTGCTGGGATTACAGGCGTGAGCCACAGTGCCTGGCCTTTAAATCAGTATGTTAGCCTTTGTATGGAAAATGTAAATCTACTCAGTGCCTCCGTTTTGATATTCACTATCCCCCTCCCAACGCCAGGAGCACTGATCAGCATTCCTTGGTTTCCCTCTGTCTCCTGATGGTTACTTTGCACTTGAATAAACTCTGCTAACTGGATACTGAACCTTCTTTAGATTGAGTCTTCTTTAGGTTGATACCCAGTAATTCCACTTTGAGAAATTACTCCTAAAAAAAAATCTAAAAATGAGGTGTGGTGTGTTCATTCTCTCATTCATTAATTCAACAAATGTGTACAAGAATGGATGTTTATTACAGCATTGTTTTAGAAATGAAAATGTAAACATCCAACATTATGAGATTGGCTAAATATGACACATCCATTCAATGCAATGGTCATGCAACCTCTAAAAATAATGATAAAAATAAAAAATTAGCTGGGCATGGTGGCACATGGTGCTCCCACATAGCACCAGCTATGAGGGAGGCTGAAGGGGTGGCCTGCCCCTCCACACCTGTGGGTGTTTCTCGTTAGGTGGAACGAGAGACTTGAGAAAAGAAATAAGACACAGAGACAAAGTATAGAGAAAGAAAAGCGGGGCCCAGGGGACCGGCGCTCAGCTTACAGAGGACCCACGCCGGCACCGGCCTCTGAGTTCCCTTAGTATTTATAGATAATTATCTTTACCATCTTAAAGATAAGGGAGTGGCAGGACAATAGGATCATTTTTAGGGAGGAAATTAGCAGTAAGACATAAGAACAAGGATCTCTGTGACATGAATAAGTTTAAAGGAAAATCCCGTGCCTTGAGATAAACCTTTTAGCAACGTTGTTTCATCCTATCACATGGGGATAAACCTTGGACAATACCTAGCTTTTCTAGGAACAAAGTCACACCCTGCACGCCCAAAATCCATTAAACCTTGAGTTACCACAGCACATGTCTCTCGCAAGGACAAGGTTGGGGGTAGGGTCACAGACTAACAGCATCTCAAATACAGAACAAAATGGAGTCTCTTATGTCTACTTCTTTCTATATAGACACAGTAACAGGCTGATCTCTTTCTTTTCCCCACATTTCCCCCTTTTCTTTTCAACAAAACCACCATTGTCATCATGACACAAAGTAATAGAATATCACAAAGCAAGTGGAGGCAGGATGAGATCACAGGATGGTGTTAAAATTAAAATTTTTGGGCATGCATAGTCATGGATAACA